ATATGAAACAAATACAATAAAATACATACAAAGCAGAACACAGCTAAATGTATCAAAAGTATGTCTATGTAATATTAGAATTATCTGAGACAATTAATTTTGGTTTTTCATTTCCCCCCCAGTAAGAGGTTTTTATTTAATAGGATTTTTGGACAAAAACATCGCAATATATCACCTTGCTTACAGTATCGCAATATATCGGGATATATCGTATCGTGACCCCTCTGTTATATGTATCGTATCGCCAAATTCTTGTCAATACACAGCCCTACTGTTAAGCTGACTAATTTACATTGTATCAAAGTCTCATATCTTAAACGTTGTCCCATGAAAAGATGTAATGAAATACAAGCAGAAATGTGAGGGGAGTACTCATTTTTAAGCAATTAGAGCTGTGGCTACAGGTCCTCGAGAACCACTCTACTTGGTTTATTTGCTTAGAGACACACCTGATTTGAATAATGAGTGATTAACAGGTTTCTGCTAAATAAAAGAGCAGGTGAACAACTAAACTGTGCAGGGGAATGCAAAATTATTCAGTCAGCGACCCAAAACTAGCTCTGTCATAGGGTAAAGTTGAACATTATTACCATAAACAAAATGTAGGAAAGTCTTGAATAAACTTTTGCACAGGAGTGCAGAGCGTGGAGCCTTTAGCAGATATGGGACAGCCTGCTGCTGCGTGCTTGTCTTCAGACTTCTCGGTAGTCTCGTCTCTTACCTGTGTGATTCCCGCCCCCATCAGCCCCCCTCCGATGACCGTGATGTGTTTAATAACAGAGGACCGGACGGCCGAGGAGGAGAAGCCCCTGCTGACGTGATGAGAGAAGAAAGCCATGACTGGTGAACCAAGGAACCCGACAGAGGACAGCCTAGGGTCAGAAAGAAGAGGTCACGTGATCCTGCTGAGTTTCTTCTTCTTCTTCTGTTTTTATTTCTACAGCGGGTCCATGTTGGAGCCCTCCATACCGCCACCTGCTGGCTAATAGTACTGTGAAGCGTAAAATACCGTGATTTACAAGAGACTTTCTCTTTAATATTTAAATTTATCGATATTTAAAATATTATTGACAGCAACTAGAGTCAAAATTTTGTTTTCACTGAAGGATATCCAATTATTTCTGTTCTCTAGCTTGCAGATTTCAGCTAAAGAGCAGAAATAATTAGATAACAACACTGTACTACCCAGCAGGTGGCATGATACTTTTTTTTTTTTTTTTTTGGGGGGGGGGGGGGGTTATTTCTAAGAGTTTCATGAAAATCTGTCATTTTGTTTATGAGATATCAAATACACACAGATATGAAGACATAAAGATAAATCCAACAGAGCCATAATCTGGTCTGAGACTTTAAATTTGAAGTGCAACAGGAGAAGGAAACACAATGCTGTTTTTATTATTGTTGTTGTTTTGAGCACAAACAGGTTTGAATGAACAGAACAAATTTGTGAAGAAATATGTCATAAAATATGAAACATTTAAAATAATTAACGTATAAATAAGAAAATGTTTTTTTTATGGTGTTTGGTATTTCACATTTTTAGACATGTATTAACAAGTAATTAAATAAGTCCCTTTAAAAATAAAATAGAATGTGGAGTTCTAAAAGTTGACTCTTTAAAATGCAAAGCAAAACAAAATATTTCAACAAGAACATTTCTGATTTTTTATTCAATAAAAACAACACTGATCTCTGCTGGTCAGAGCAGAACTGCACTCTTTCTTTAAGTTACTTTGTAATCATTAACAATTTCCTAAAATCATTTAAATATAAAATCAGTTTCACATTGACTTTGTATTGAATTTTTTTTCTTAATTTTTCTGATATAAACCCTTCTTAGCATCTATAAAAAAGCGCATTTTGTTCAATAACCTTTCTCACATTTAAAATTTTCCTAAAATATCCAAAGCAAATATTTTTTTCTAAACTGTTAAGTGACAAAAATATAATTTTGAAAAACAAAACTAAACAGTGATTTTCTTTATAATCTCAACATAATATTTACAATAATCGATTGCAATTCAAAGGTCACCAAAATGCCAAATTAAATATTTTTAAACTTCATAGAGCAGGAAAAAAGCATTTCTTAAATAATCAAATGTGCAAATATTTTTAGTACAGGTTCAGGTTATAAAACATGACTATGATAAAATATTGATACAGATATTCAACTAGTTTTATACAGAATCACAAAAGGCACCTGGAATTATTTTTAACAATCTTTTAAACTAAATAATTTAAAAAAAATTTAAATACAAACATTTTTTCCATTAAAACAAACATTTTTCAAATAGTGCTCTGAGAAAAAAAAGGTAAATAATATGTTTTTATACAAAATACTTTATGTGCAAAAACACTTTTGACCTTATGATTTGTGGGTTTTTTTTCATAACTTTTTATAATTGTTCACTCCATAATTCCTTGAATGATCTGGACAATAATCTATTAAAGTGACTTGGATTGTCATCTGCACATCTGTGTCACTGTTTAGGTAAAACATGTAAATATGTTAGATCAAAAACAATAAACTCAATCTGTACCATTATAGTAGCTCCTCAGGAGACTCCAGTCAGTAACATCTGTCATTTTAAAGTGTCCTAGATGAAGTGCGTCCCTCAGTCCTCACTCCGAGCGCTCACACACACGGTGAAAGGAGACGGAGCCAGCGTCAGACCAAAGCGTCCCTGCAGAGACGGAGGAGGTTTCCCCTCCGGGAGTCTGAATCTGAAGGCCTGCAGCAAGCCGCTGACCGTCAGGAAGAGCTCCATCTTAGCCAGCTTCTCGCCCATGCACACCCGACGACCTGAGAGAGAGGAACGGTTACATCTCTGTTCACACCACCGAACCAGTTTCGACGCTCAGTCACAAGAACAGAGGCATACCAATTCCAAACGGCACAAAAAACTCTTTCTTGTCCAGCTTTCCTTCATCATCCAGGAAGCGTTTGGGGTTAAAAGTGTCCGGATCGTCCCACACAGCAGGGTCTCTGTGGACGGAGTACAGGTTGGGCACAATAACCGTTCCCTTGGGAATAGTGTAGCCTCTGAACTCTGCAGAGAGGAAGAAGACAGGTTGATTAATTACATGAAGTTATTTTTTTTCCTTTTGCTTCCTCCTTTATGTGGAGAACGGTTTTTGATGACCTGTCGTCTCCGAGGCCATGTGAGGAATGCTGAGCGGAACCACGACAGCCAGCCGCTGCACTTCCATGATGGCGGCTTCGGTGAAAGGCAGACTTCCCTTATCGGTCAACGACGGGAGCCGGCGTCTGCCCACAACTTCATCGAGCTCTGCCTGGACTTTATCTGCAAACAAAACAGTTCGCACCACGATGAGTGGAATCTCTACAAAACAAACAACAAATACAAATAAGGATTCAGTTATTTCAGAGCAAATTCCTTCAAAGTTTAAACTACATTACTTTGACATGTTAGTGACCGACAAACAACTAGTTTGGTGTTGTACCCAACAGATAGGAAGTATTTTGAAGTTTCAGTGCAAAAATATTTGCCCAAACTACTCAGTGTGCCAAATTCAGCAAGACTGCCAACGCTACCTGATGGTCAGTGAACTATTAAAGTATTGCTAAACATGTCATGTCTGCCTCGCTCAGTCCAGCTGTTTCGAAACGTCTGAGTGAAAAACATTATGCAGACGTGGCTGTATTGATCTGAAATAACCATGATTAAATGTAAAATAGCTGATTCTAATAGGCCTAATCATAAGTCCTTAAACGCAACCCAAATTTTGAAAACACTTTTTTTTCACAATGGAATACAGTAAATGTACGAATCATTTCAAATAAAACTTTGTAAATATATGGATATTTATAAGATTAGCAAATCATCCTATGTATTTATTTATATTTTACACAAATTAAAATCTTTTCTGGATTTGGAGTTGTAGATTTGTTTACATTAGATCCACAGAAATCGTGCCGCCTGGACTGTTTCTGCTTTTACCTTGAACGTCAGGGTATAAAGCCATATAAAGCAGAGTCCATAAAACTGAATTAGTCGTAGTGTCAGTGCCAGCAACAAAGAGGTCTCCTATTACATAAAAGAGATAATCTTCATTGAAGCTGCTGTCCATCTCTCCTGCAGCTTGCTGCGCCAATATCTCTATCAAGTACATGTCTGTGAGATCCCTGGGATTCTCTGGATCTAAAGTCTCCCGATGATTTGCAATAATCCTCTTGAGGAACACGGTGATGTCTCTTTCCACCTGCCGTAACTCCTTAAAGACCCCGAAGGGCAGATAGTAGAGCAGAGAAACGGCGTTGATGAGGACGGCGGGGCTGTTGACGGAGATCTCCAGCTCTCGCGCCATCAGGCCCAGGATGGTGCGGAACTCGGGGTCCCCGTGGTGGAAGCGCCGGCCGAGTACCAGCGAGCAGATGACGTTCGATATGGCGTTGCCAATGAGCGGGAACGGGTCCACGCCGGCGCCGCCGCACTCCTCGTTCAGCCTCAGCAGCTCCGCCTTGAGGGCGAGCAGGCCTCGCTGGATGCACGGCTCCAAACTCAGCTTGCCCAGGCCGAAGCTCCGCAGCGTCGCGTGGCAGAACTTACGCTGCTTCCTCCACACTGGCCCGTACGGCGCAAAGACTATTCCTGGAGATAAGCAAGAAAGGAAAACTAAGAAAACAACTCTTAATTATTACTCGTTTAGTTAGAGACGTTTTATGTTGGGTAATGATTGTGGGGGAATTTTAACCCACAAAAGGTTTGCAGTAGAGTTGGATATTGCACGGTTTGACCTTAGGGTGAATTTCCTGGGACATCCACGTGGGCAGCTGTCATAAATGTTTTCCTTTTGTGTTTTTTTTATTGTAAGCGTTTTTCACTACAAAACTATGGTCTGCATATTAGAGAATCACTGTTAACCCTTCCCAGGAGGATGTGCAGGAAAATAGCCAGGTCATGATGTCTTTCTGCCCTGGCATTGTGTTAACAGTATGTTTTTCTGTAATGCAGACATAGTGCAATTTATTGTGCTTTTTGTACACTTGAGGTTAGATTTAGATCATTTTAGGCCATTTCCTGATATTTAAAATCTGAACTTGTATTTTCCACGTTTTTTTTCTAGTGTATCACTCTGCACTAACCACATAAAGAATATCGGAACTGTCCCTTTAATGAAGCAGTAACATACCTTTGCGTTTAGTCATAATGGAGATGGAGGGGATGTCTGGTCTGTCTGAGAACACCTCGGGGTGGTTGGACAGAGCATCCCTCACCTCTTCGTACCCGTTCAGCACGACCACCAGCTGACTCCCCAAGAACAGGCTGTACACGTTACCGTACAGCTTAGCGAGGGTTGTCAGGGCCGTCAAGACGCTCACGTCTTTATATGGCTGTCCATTGTTTTTCCTAAAGGCTGCAGGGACAAGAAAGCCGCCGAAGTTGCCCACTACGGGCCATGGTTTCGGACCTGGAGGGATGTTTTTGTAAATGCCCGCTTGCCTCTGATAAAACCTAGCCAGGTAAAACGCTAACGAGAAGACCGTCAAAAGCACTGCAAAGCTGCTAACATGTTCCAGCCGTGAAAGCGAGTCCATGGCGTCTGAGGTAAATAAGAGCAGAATGAGCTACAGAATGAACTCTGTGCATCTCTTCAGGTGCGATACAGTGCTTTTCCTGTGTTATGACACTGTAAATAGTATTTTGGTGCTGGTTTCCTATTGGCTGTTGCCGCTGCGACTGGAGAAGGGGTTAATTTATAAAAGTGGGCGTGTCACAAGAGTGGGCGTGTCTAAACCATGAACACTGTGGGCTACGAGGCCTACATGACGGTATCCTTAGACCCTGCTTGATCTCTTTACAGCCTGACCCCAACACTAAGGTTAACCAGGAGAAATGTGACCCAATTAGGGTTATCCCGAAAAAATGTTGCCGTACAGTATCGCCCTTTTTTTTTGCTTGTCCAGTCAGGTGTGTCCCTTTAACAAAGTCCGTCAAATCAGGTGTGTCCCTTTAACAAAGTCCGTCAAATCAGGTGTGTCCCTTTAACAAAGTCCGTCAAATCAGGTGTGTCGCTTAGAATCGCCTTTTGTTGTGACACGCCCACTCATCCGCAGCGACCCCCCACTTGCTGCGACTTGATCTTGACTGATAGGCGGAGAGGAGAGCAAGGGCTTTTACTGCCCTGAGTTAAATCTTGCAGGCTTCAACACCACTCTGAGCCGCAATCAGCGGAACTTGTGCCATTCCACATTATTACAAATAACTTCATTTCTGGACATTTATGGTTTGATTTCTTTGTATGTTTGGATCACTTGGGTTGTTACCGACATCTGGTGAAAATTTCATGTCATTAGTTCCTCTAGTAATATATTTACTGAGAAAAATGGCGACGTGTTCAATACTTATTTTACCTGCTGTATTTTATCACTCTGCTTGCAGGTATCAAAGATCCTGCCTTTCTGAAATTCTGATTTGAAAACAACCTTTATTTTTTTCTTCTGATTTAGTATTTTGATGTTTCATTGTTGCTGATTTTTACATGTCTGTGGCATGTTTGCTTTTCAGTGCTGCAATTCATTATTGTTCAGCTGTTTTTAGAAAAAAAATCTGTGTTTTATGTTTGTTGAGGGACTTGCTGCTGTGATGAAGTTGTGTACACCAGGGATACAAGTTAATTATTTGAGCACCACATTGGTTGGTGAACAACCAAGCCACATTGAATATTTGACTTTTGTTCCAGAGTGAAATCAGTCAGCACAGGGCTGTTTTGATTTCTTTTAACTCTTTCAAACATATTATTCGTAACAAGTTGTGTTCTGATAGCCCTGATCAACATGCAAAATAAATTGGCAGCAAAAGTTACACAAATAAACGTTTGTTTGCTGTTTTTCAACATCTGGTAATTTGTTAACTGATCTTCAATATATTTTTGCAAAAAAAAATAGGCATGATTTTAAGTAGAGTCAACACAAAATAATTAGGGCAACAAAGTGACAATTAATAACAGTAAACAGATTTTAAGCCATGTGGTACCAATTCTAAGGTAATTTGAATAATTAAATTTATGTAAAGATGAATAAAATTTGCAGTGTAAATGTGTTGAATTAAGTGATGTTCCAAATAAGAGTTAATGTAACTTAATTTATTTATTGAATCCAAATTATTTTTATCCAGATATTTAGAAAAAATACTACTATTTTCACTGACAAAATTAGTAGATATAAATTAATAT